GGCTGGGCAGTGGGCAACTTACTGGCTTGTCCTCTCCTTTCTATAACAAGTAGTAATTTCTAATTCTCTCATTTTCTATATATCTTTAATTATAGTTTTAATTTAAAACTTAATATTTTAGGGTCTTATTTATGTATAGATGTATTTGAGGGTAAGACTTATTACGTCCCCCTAACTAGGTGTATCTTTTTCCTGATTATTAATGAAATTCACTCGTACCTTGAAGTTTAGTATGTAAATTCCGCCCAATTGGCTTTTCATTTTTGGATCCGCCACTGCTTTCTCCTCTTGTACCTCTTATTCAGTTTGTTCAATGTGTATTCAACTCGCAGATAAATATATGTATTTAATGTGATTCAAAACTTTTATTATACTACAAGAAAAATATTAATAATTTGCATTGAATATTTAGATTTATGTGTGAGTGAAATACTCATGAAACAAAACTAAATGAGGAAGACAAGAAGGAAAAGGCAAAATGTAGCTAGCATTGTTCTAATACCGATAACATATTTTATATAAAGTGATTCTAAAAATTAACAATACAATACTATATAATTATTGAAACAATACTATATTTTTATGATGAATTATTAATAAATGGAAAATGAGCCTTGCTTGAATCCTCATATTTTTTGTTTAAACAAATATAAACTTTAACTAAACACAAGTTACATGTATGTTACATTCACTTAGAATCCCATAAAAGAGAATTGAGACAAAGAAAAAAATATACATTCAGCAATTGAAAAGATTAATGCCTCTCATCCTTTTCAATCTCCCAATGGCAATTAAATGATAAGGCGAAAACAAAATTAAAGATAAAATAAGAAAATAATAAACATAAGGGGAGGGAGAGAGAGTACGCTCTTAGTCTTAGCCTCTAACCGATTTCACACACCTCTTCTATTCCTCTAATTCTACGCCCCAGGATTCTCCATCAAATTCCAATTCCAAGCGACCCAATAATGTTCATACTCAGTCTTGACAGCTCCAATTAACAATCTGTGCATCATCTTTGGGCCGCTAATCACATTTCACCTCAGTTTTGACGGTAAAATAAAATCAAAACCCAACCTATTTATTTAAGTAAATATGTATAACAAAACCTTTGCGGCTTTGCAAAACATGTGATGAACATCAACGTCAACAAAATCAATGTCGTTCACCACAAAAAATGAGGGAAGAAAGAAATAAGATGTCGTTTTGACTGTCTACCGTAAGTATGAGGAGTCCTCGAAAGTCATATCAGATGTGCCGAGATGAACCTTGCCACTACTCTTCTTCTTAGTCTTCTTACCTCCGCCACCACAAGAAATTGAAAGCTCGCAACCTAATGCAAAGCACGAAAACAAACTTCTGCCACTGCTACGGCTCCGGCGACTCTTCGGCGGTCGGTTGGTGAGGTCGTGAGACGACTGGAGCAACTTCGGATGTTGACTAGTATTGTTATTGTTATTGTTATTGTTCTTGTTCTTGCAGTCGTACACTGGGGGCAGCTCTGTCCGCCACCTTTCGATCTTTGTCTTTAATCCCTCCACGCTATCCTGGTCCGTCCATTCATCCAACAACGAGTTCCGTGCATCACCTTGTGCCGCGTGGCGCACCACATTGCCTCCGCCATGGCCAAGTGGATATATCCCCTTGGCTATGGCGGCCGCAACCACGGATGGCGAGGGCCCCACGTCAGAGCAAATGGACCCACCCTTTCCCCCTTTCTGCGCAGAGCTAAGCTCAGAACCGTTCACAATCGAGCTATTGCAAAATGAACCTTGAGGTTTAGTAGTTTTTGAGAAGCCCCCTGTAGCGGCATTGCAAATGGAGCTCGAGGCTTTGCTTTTGGAGAGCCCGTCGCAGACGGAGCTCGCTGGCCGGCTTTTCGAGAACCCGTAATCGCTACCCGTTCGATCGCTCTGGGATCGTTGGAAGATTATGAATTTGTCTTGATCCTTGTAGTTGGGGTCGTGGTTCTTTTGATTTGCCCCCTTTCCTTCCATCAAATCCCAATACCCGACGGCAGAGGAGCTGAGCTCGCTGTAGAGCGGCATGCTCCGCATGGTGTTGTCAAGGAGGCCGAGGCCGATGTTGAGAATCCCCTGCGGGCGGCCGGAGGGGCGGCGCAGCTGGATCGCCATGAAGCGCATCTTGGACTTGTTCTGAAGATTGTTCACCACCACGGCAGCCGTCCCGATCAGCACGTCGCGGAGCCACGCGGAGGCGTAGATCTCGATCATGATCTTCGACGTGTCGTCCTTGAGGAACTCGTCGTCGACTCGGAAGACGAACTTCTCGTTCCATGTCGGGTTGGTGTGGCCGTTCTGATCGACACGTGTCGTCAGCTTGCGCTTCGGGTTCACCCACGCGACGGCGAACGTCCGCATGGATTTGGACGCCGGGTAAAGATCTTGCGCCGAAATCAGATTGATCTCCAGAAGCTGGAACGACGAGGCTAATGGTGGTCGTGGCATGATTTGTAATTAATTGCTGCAGCAATCACAACAACAATTATATTAAGATAGTAATTGCTGCGAGCAATTAATTAAAATATTGCGAATGGCAGGCTGTTTGGATATAATAATACTGATGAACTATTTTTATGAAGAGGATTAGGCACCCGGAAGAACGTACGTGGTCAAACGACAACGACTGACCGGCCGACAGTCGTGACCGGCCTCCGGGGACGTACGTATGACTAGTAGGAGGAGAGGGATGTGCTGCAGTGAGGAATGGTTTGTGTGTGTGTGTGTGTGTGGAGGCGAGAGGCTTTTAATTGAAGGCGTGTTGTTAGGGAAGTTTGTTAAGCATCAACGGTTTTAGGACCGTAATTTTCTGAACAAAACCTATAATTATAAAACTCAACACTCATACGGGAAACAAGACAACAAATAAACTATCCGAATGATGCTGTTTTTCTCAAATTTAGAGTCTTTAGATCTGTTAACAACTATCCCAATGAATCCGAATCACAGCGGGGGCAGCTTTCTGTTCACTGACTCTCCTCTGATTAAGAAATTAATTAGAAACTTCTACACCTCATCTCTGATTAATTATATATATATATATATATCTGATTATTAGGTTGTTAATTATAAATAATTGTGTGAGAAAAACTGTTGTGCTTTATATAATTAATTTATGGCTCTCTAAACCAAAGCAAACCTCTGTTTATGCTACCTACGTACGCAACCTGTATAATTCCAAAAAAGGACACCTAATAACACGAAAACGTTGATTGCCCTGTTTTTCTTTTGGTAGCTGAGTTTTAAAGCAGTTGTTGTAAGTTATTGTAACCCTGTTATTCTGGTGAAGAAAACTCACAAGTTCCCACCAAAGTTAGATACAAGTGGGCAGGAAAAAGAACAACAAACCCCAAAACACAAGCAAAAACCACAGATTGAGAGAAAGCTGCAATCTTATCTCTTTCATCTGGAACCACATTGCATCGTCTTCAAACCCCAAATGGATTTCACCTTGAAACCATTCTTTCTCTGTTTTGCAGCACAACTATTGCTACTACTTTCTCTACTATCTTCTGCAAACCCAATTAATTCTGACTACAATACCTTGGTATACAACCAATGCGCAAATCAGACATTTACTACTCCTCCAACACAACAAACCCTTTCATCCCTTTTCCAAGAACTAATTGCACACTCCTCCCAATCAAAATTCTTCAAACACACCCAAGCCACCGGTGACGATGATGAGACGGGCATTTCCGGTCTCTTCCAATGCATACAGGACATCAGCAACGAAGAGTGTCACAGCTGCGTTTCCACTTTACCTGATTTATCAAACACCTTATGTAGAGAGTCTGTATCGGCTCGCGTTCAGCTACATGGTTGCTACATGCATTATGAGCTCGATGGGTTCGACTCAGAGTCTTCAAATCATAAATTGATGCATAAAACCTGTGGGGAATTATCAAATGGGTTGGCTGTTGGGTTCGAGGAGATGAGAGGCGCAGCATTTGCAGCTCTGGAAAGTGGTATTGTGGTGAGTGGTGATGGGTTCTACAAAACGAGCTATGAAGCCGTACAAGTAATGGCACAGTGTGTGGGGGGCTTGGGGGGCTGTGAATGTGGAGGCTGTGTAAGCAGTGCAGTTCAAATTGCTGAAGCAGAGTGCGGTGCTGCTCTTTCAGGTCAAATTTATTTGGAAGAGTGCTTCTTGAGCTATGCTTACCATCCAGATGAAATACCTGACCACCCGCATCCAGGTAATTAAATTTCAGAATTAGTTATGATCTATAGATACTTCCGTTCTTTATCAACGTACCAATAATAAAACGTATCAATATACTACCGACGTAACGTATGTACAATTCGTGCACATAAATTTTTTGAAATCATTATGCCTTTTTCTTTTTGGCAAATGTTTTATTTTTTTAGATGGGTTGTGTTATCAAACTTGTGAATATGAGGTTGATTTTATTCAAATTTTCAAAATTATGTTCATGACTTTTCCTTGAATATCATTCAGTTTGCTAATGTGAGGTATATATACATATTTTTAAATAACAGAAACAAGAAGAGACAGAAATGGAAGCAATGGGAAATCGGTGGCAATTGTTGTGGGAGGAGCAGCAGCTTTGTGTTTGGGGTTCGTTTTTCTGTTGTTCGTCAAGTCTTGGTCAAAGAAAGAAGATGACTAAAATTCAATTGATTATTACAAAACAAAGTTTATTTATTTATATTTTATAGAACGTTTTAAAGTCACGGACTCGGGTGCGCATATTACAGGTCCAGGCCCAGGCCACGGGCTTATCAATGACGGATATTATTCAGTTCAAAAATAAAACAAAAGGAAGTGAAACTCTCTCTTCATCTGGCGTGTAAAAGCAGAGCAAATCTAACGTATATGTAACATATGTTTACAGAATATAAGAAACAAACTATCTAGGGTTATTTAATCATCTAGAATAGTAAAGATTTAACACAACAACAACTGAATTTGGAGCACTTAAAAAATAACATATCATTAAAATTTAACTTAGAGTTTGTATTTATTTACTAAAGAGC